CTAGATAAAATTGTCTGTTCACCGTTATATTTAATATTGTTTATATCAACTGTTTATTCTTATTAATAAAGTTTTGAGTTTTCTCATGCCATACACATCATGCCTAAGCAGGAATTCACGTGACTAAAATGGATCGAGATGGTTGATTAATATCATTATATTATATTAAATTTAACGTTGTTTTAGAGATTATTTAGCTCAGTAAACGTTGAATATAAGGCGGGAAAATATATTTGAAAGAAGGTGACTGCGCGAGTTCGTGATGCTTCAAGATGTCTACGCCAGTGTGGGCGAGCGCCGCGCGTCCCGCCGGTGCATGTTGGGAGTGGCGACTGCCTGAGCCTGCCAGATCCCCATATATTTACAAAAAATAGTCTATATTTTTCATCAACTTCGTAATTAGTAATGAATAAAGTGTAACAGACAATATTATAGGAAGCCTTTACACACATGGCGGTATAAAAGTGAGGCTTAATTTATTATGTTTGGGTGAGGACAGTAGTGACCTCTGGCGGCGACTTGGCAGACTATGATGCCATTATGGCCGATGTTTGGAATTGATCTGTGAAAGGCAGATTAGATTCTCGCGATTCTAACACCTGTTAATGCGTTATTGGCCATAAATAACATCTCTGCGACTTGGACGTGTGTCAGCCTGGTTATTGGTAAGGTCTGTGTTCGTTAATACTTGCAGAGTAAGACGTAACATAAGGAAATAGTCACTCCGTGGTGCTTTATTTACACACGCCATGGAGTCGTTAGGCTTATTGTGTCTTGGTGTCAAATTGTCCACCGCGGTTATTCCTTCATGCAGGCGTCGTTAGGGCCCTCCTGACGCCTTCACCCATCCCAGTAGTAGGGAAAGAACTCAGAGAATGACCCGTAGATATTTAAATAAGAAGTAAATAGCCACTAGGAGCCTTGTTGTCGGGGTACGAGTGTGTGTGGTTCCGGGTCAAGATCTTTCCCCCCAAGCTGCGCCATCCACCACTATATTAACCCTCTTATCCACCTCTCACACCCTTAATAACACACTATGGCATGTTAGAATTACGGTATTAAACTAAACCATCCTTATCCATGTGACCTAAACCACTTTATCCATTGTTATAATCCAATGAACTTAACTTTACATGGGTCAGTATTTTTACCTGTGGATCTGTGAAGGAATTTATATAGGTGTAAATATATATATAAAACCTCTATTAATATTATCACCTAATTATAAAATATTAGTTTAGATAATATAAACATTGTTATTGTTTACAAGTTGAAATGAGGTCAATTAAACTTAAAATCAAATTCTTATCATTTAACATTAACTAAACTAACATATAGATGATTATTTAACATTATTATTTATATTTTATAGATATATTTCATCATTGTGTTTGTAAATTTAAACTTGAAAGCGAGATGGTTAATTTTTTCACTAGTTAAATAAGTTTATAGTCTTGTTTACATGGTCATTACAAGTAGACAAACAATGATAGACAGGTGAGATAAACAACACAGGTAAATTATTTAAAATTACCTTAGTTATTGGTACAGGTATTAAAGATGAAATCAACAACTTATAACAATGGTGTTTTAAGATGTAACAAACAGATGGATATTACAGTACTGTATTGGGTAACATTATCGTTTTGGTCATATACTTATTGGGAACCTAACCTAACCTAAACATAACATAACCTAACCTAACCTAAACATAACATAACCTAACCTAACCTAAACATAACATAACCTAACCTAACCTAACCTAAACATAACATAACCTAACCTAATTAGTAAAAATCGGTCACAACACTACTTCTCAAATGTCACCTAACCTAAGCTAAGCTAACCTAACCTAACCCTTCTTTACTTATCTTAAACCTAACCTAACCCTACTTGTCTTAAACCTAACCTAACCTTACTTATCTTAAACCTAACCCTACTTGTCTTAAGACCTAACCTATCCTAACCTAACCCTACCTGTCCTAACCTAACCTATCCTAACTCTATCCTGACCCTAACCTATCCTAACCTAACCTTACTTGTCTTAAGCTAACCTAGCCTGACCTAACCTTCCGACCCTAACCTATCTAACCTAACCCTACTTGTCCCTAACCTATCCTAACCTAACCCTACTTGTCTTAAACCTAACCTAGCCTTACTTATCTTAAACCTAACCTATCCTGACCTAACCTATCCTCACCTACCCACTTGTCTTAAACCTAACCTAACCTTACTTATCTTAAACCTAACCTATCCTAACCTAACCTAACCCTACTTGTCTTAAAGACCCTAACCTACTTGCCTTAACCTTAAACCTAACCTAACCCTACTTGTCTTAAACCTAACCTAACCCTTACCTAACCTATCTTAAACCTAACCTAACCTTACTTATCTTAAACCTAACCTTACCTTCCATATCTTAAACCTAATCTAACCTTACTAATCTTAAACCTAACCTAACCCTACTTGTCTTAAACCTAACCTAACCCTTACCTAACCTATCTTAAACCTAACCTTACTTATCTTAAACCTAACCTAACCTTACTTATCTTAAACCTAATCTAACCTTACTAATCTTAAACCTAACCTAACCCTACTTGTCTTAAACCTAACCTAACCTTACTTTCCATATCTTAAACCTAACCTTACTTGTCTTAAACCTAACCTAACCTAACCTATCTTAAACCTAACCTAACCTAACCTTACCTTCCATATCTTAAACCTAACCTAACCAATTCCCCGGATGACCAAATCTAAAATAATAAAACAAAAACAATAATAATGATAAAGTTAACAGTATTTTAGGATTTATAAAAAAAAAATTTGTTTTTATATTGAAATTAAAAAAACTTTTCTGAAACTTAAAAAAAAAAAATTGTGTACAGGAAATAATTAGTCAGGGATGTTATTATTATTATTATTATGATTATTATTATTATTATGATTATTATTATTATTTACTATACTGACAATAGGTAAACAAACTTACTGGATGTGCTTTATATATTGTCCAGGTGTATGTGTGTAATAGTAATAATGATAAACGTTTTATTAATAGAGTTGCAGCCTGTGTGTGTGTGTGTGTGTGTGTGTGTTTGTGTGTGTGTGTGTGTGAGAGAGAGAGAGAGAGAGAGAGCTCAGGTGTATTTCAGTCATGTAATTTTTTCAATAAGTCGGCATTTTCACATATTGACCCTCGATATAATGAACCTCCCACTCCTTATAGTCCATTATATAGAGGTTACACTATGGGGGGGGGAAGGTGTTAAGCCACATATATTATTCAGGGTTCGGCAGTTTATTGGTCCTGTTTTGAGGTGCGGTGTCCAATGAGGTGAATAAAATCGTCCGGTATTAGCGAAATAAAATATTAAAAGTGGCGTACAGTAGTGAAGGGGTAACACTAAAATATAATCTTACAATGGATAATAATAATAATAAATAATAATAATTAATAATAATAAATAATAATAATAATAATAATAATAATAATAATAATAGTAAATAATAATAAAATGAAATAATAAAATAAGTAATACAGTAATAATAACTAAAATAAATATAATACAATAATAATAATAATAATAAGTAAATAATAATAATAATAAATAAATAATAACAATAATACTTTAATTGTAGGTAGTAATATCGTGTTATTTATAGGTCATGGTTGTGACACTTACACCGGGTCACGTTATTGTTGTGGGATGACCTCAAGCCACGTAAATAACGACGATATTTACGCGTGATTTATTATTGTACTTGCGGAGAAAAGGGGGACAATTGGCTGTGAGTTTGTGGTATGTTTTATTGAGGTGGTTTAGTCAGGCATGAGGGACTGGTTTATTTATTAATTTTTTTTTTTTCTCTTGTGTTGGAGTTTTAAGACAATGTTTATAGTTTTAGAGCTCTCTCTCTCTCTCTCTCTCTCTCTCTCTCTCTCTCTCTCTCTCTCTCTCTCTCTGCTTTAACATTATCTTGAATTCTTTCTCTCACCTCTTTTCTGTCTTTTTTCTTTTATCTCTCTTCTCTCCTCTCTTTTCTCTCATCCTCTTTAACATTCGAGCTGTACCCTAAAGTAACTCCTACAGTGTTTATATAATTAATTCCGTTACCCAAGGGACGACGTAAATATTAACGTCTGTAAATCTATTCGAAAGAAGGTGTATAGCTCCCAGCCCCCCCATATGTCTGAATGTCTTTTTAAGCTAGGAATTTAGTTTTAAGTCACACCCTCTATGTCTGAAAATCTGGTATAAGCCCCCTCCCCCACCCTCCAGCCACCCCACCTGATATAAGTCCCCCCCCCTCCTCCTCTAGCCACCTCCTCTGTCTGAATGTCTGGTATAAGCCGTTGGAAGTAGTATCTGTAACCTGGCTTTTTTCTTTATGCCAAACACGAGCAAGGATGGATTTCTGGAGACTGCGCAAACTCATAAATTTTGTTAGGTTATGTTGCCATTTGTGATGAATATTAACCCCTTGAGTATGATGATTTTAACCCCTTGAGTATGATGATTTTAACCCCTTGAGTATGATGATTTTTACCCCTTGAGTATGATGATTTTAACCCCTTGAGTATGATGATTTTAACCCCTTGAGTATGATGATTTTAACCCCTTGAGTATGATGATTTTTACCCCTTGAGTATGATGATTTAACCCCTTGAGTATGATGACTTAACCCCTTGAGTATGGTGACTTAACCCCTTGAGTACAGTAGCACTAATCAACGGTTTGAAGTCATTGTATTCAAGGTATTAAGAATCATTGCACTAGTTCATTATTTATTTATTATAAGAGTAAGGATCATTGTACACCACTTGTCGAGATTAATATAAATTACTACAGGTGATTTTATTGTCATTTAATGTATTTTAGTTTCTCTTTGGCGGTGGAATATTGTTGTTTAAACCTCTGTCTGTGTTATGATCTATTCTTAATAATGTGTTAATTCTCCTCTAAATGGAAATATTAATTGGGTTACATTTTTCTTGACAGGTGGAACAGCCATAATCAACACAACTCTGGTAATACCTGGTATATGGATCCACACAAGACGGGAGGCGGCATGAACCAACAACCGCCACCTGCACACAACATGCCAGGACCTCCGCAGCACCCTGCAACCCAGCACCCCCCCGCCATGGGTCAGACAATGCCTCAACGGCCCATACAGACCGGGTACCCCATGCAGCCTAGACCGGCCCACACCGGAGCCCCAGGGTCGATGGGGCCAAAGCCCCCCGGAACCACCGGTCACATGGCCCCCAAACCACAGACCACGCTAGGAAACATAGTCACAAAGCCTATGGTGCCCACGACGACTAATGTTCAGCAGGTCCAGGCAAAGCTGCAGACGCCGATACACATTGCTGCATCACTCAAGCAAAATCTTCCTGTTAACACAACAGCGAATATGACGCAGATGACCAACAAACCTGCCCCAGGTCTGGTGTCTGCCACGGCCGCTTCAGCCATGCCTAAACTAGCAACACTAATGCAACAGCAACAACAACAACATCAACAGTCTCAACAGCCACCCAAACCATCTGTAACTATCCACCCACAACAACAGCACCATCAGCAACAACAACAACAACAACAACAACAGCAGCAACAACAGCAGCAACAGCAGCAGCAACAACAGCAACAGCAGCAGCAACAACAACAACAACAACAACAACAACCACAACAGCAGCAGCAGCAGCCAACACCTAAGCCAGCTGTAACTCTTCAACAGCAGCACCAGCAACCCCCAAAACCAGTTGTGTCACTTCAGCAACAACAGCACACACAGCCTCCTAAGCCAGCTGCACCTTCTCAGAATGCAGCAATCCCACCAAAGCCAGCTATACCACCAGTCTCAATAACACCAAGCCTTCCTAAGCCCTCTGTGACCTCCATACCATCTGCCAACCAACCCAAACCTCTCCAAGCCCAGTCTGTGTCTCCCATGAAGTCTGTGCCGGCAACAGTGCCGATACCCGCCACGGTCACTCCCATCATTACAAAGCCCACCCAGCTGGCAGGTCACCCCACAGTCCCCGGGCTTAGTCCGAAGCCCTTCGCACAGATGACACAGAGCACCACGGTCAGCCAAGCCTTACCACCCAGACCTACCAATCCCATGCCAGTACCTGTACAGAAGCCTGCCCAGCCTCCCCCACAGCCGGCCAAACCTACGCCACCTCCGGCCTCGAGTGCACCCCCGACCGTCACGTCTCCTGCGAAACCTCCGGCGGCCGCGCCGGCTGCCACGCCCGCCCCTCCCCCTAAACCGGCCCCGGTCGAGATAACCACACAGAAACCGGCCCCTACGGAAATTCCTCCGCCAAAGCTGACAGAACCCACAAAACCGGCCGTTGAAGCGACCGCAAAGACTCAAACTGTTCCAAGTGTCAACGGAGTGCCAGTCTCCAAGTCCCCCGTCAAGCCGGTCACTCCACTGCCACCACCATCAAAACCCGTTGAAGCTCCATCCACTGAAGCCAAGCCAATTCTGCCTCCTGCCGTGTCACCGCCCAAACCGGCCGCTCCAGTCAACAAACCTAAGGTGGAACCAGCGCCTGTTCAGCCTAAGAAGGAAATTGTTAAACCAATTCCAAGTGCCAAGCCAACTATTGAAAACTCAACAGAGCCCAAGACCGTTAATCACGCCGACCCCAAGGACGAGCCCGTCACTGAAACGCCGAAGAAGACGCGAACGCCCAGAGTAAGTTACCTGTTGGGGGAGGGGGGGGGGGTTGTCTGTCACTGTCAGATTAAAACTTTTGAGACTAAAGTATTGGACCTCATAAAGATTAGGTGTCCCGACTTCCTTGTTTCTCCTGATGATAAACTCCTCAGCTAGAGGGTTAATTTGGGGTGCTTAATCACCAGTTGAAGTAAGGGGGTTGGTAACCTTTTCTTACGGCCATTACCTCACCCGGGAACTGGTCATTTTATAATAAAGACAAATAACAATTATAATAAAAGAAAATATTAATAAAAAAAAGAACCATAAATAAATAAAAAAAAGATCATAAGTGAGAAACAATATATGTATGTTGTGTTGTAAGAGAAACAATTGAGACCCTACAATAGTGTGTAAATGAGGCAGAAAGTCAGATCATCAACCTGGGACTTGGCCACATATGGCAGCAGGGTCCACCATTAGACAACACATTATGCTTCCAATATTTTCCTCCCTGTTTGGTAGCTGCCTACTACTTAACGCTTTTTCTCTCATTCTCTTTATTTTCTTTTTTCCTTATTTCTGCTTCTTTTATCTTTTTTTATTATCTCTCTCTCTCTCACTCATAGCAATTATAGTTAACACAACTATGGTATAAACAATGTTAAATTACCCTGTAGAATATAAATAAACAATCCTCACTTAACCCAACCCAACCCTACCCTACCCTACCCTACCCTACCCTACCCTACCCTACCCTACCCTACCCTACCCTAATGACCTCCCCAGCCTCATCACCTTCGCTCACAATAACGTTATGTTGCAGCAAAAGCGGGAGGTGTTGGCCGTAGAGACCCCAGGGGACGAGCGGCGCAGCAAGAGACCTCGGAATCCGGCCAACCTCTACCAGTCCCCAGCCTTGGATAACCTGAACAGAGTGCGCAAGACAGCCGAGCCATCAACGCCCAAGACCCCGCAGGATAAACTTATTGTCTTCTTCAGGTAATACACACATACACTGTCTCTCTCTCACACACACACTCACATTGTCTCTCTCACACACACACACTCACATTGTCTCTCTCACACACACACACTCACATTGTCTCTCTCACACACACACACACACACACACTCACACACACACACACACACACACACACACACACTCACTCACTCACTCACTCACTCACACTGTCTCTCTCACACACACACACACACACAGTCTCACTTTCTCACTTAGGTGTCTAAAAATCGGGTGAAATTGGACACATTTATAGCTTTCCAGTTTATTAGTCTCATGTCATTTAAATTGGGTTGAAAAATTTAGTTGTAATTCAGAAAAGTGACTAAATGATATAAAGCTAAATGAACATACAAAATCAAGATCAAAAGCTAAATGAACATACAAAATCAAGATCAAAAGCTAAATGAACATACAAAATCAAGATCAAAAGCTAAATGAACATACAAAATGATTAAGAACCTAACCTAACCCTAAACTAACGTATATCTTCTCCAGAAACGAGCACGTGGCAGTGAGAAATTCCGAGGGTACATTCTACCTTTGTCAAGTCGCCCAGAACGTCTTTAAAAACACCCGCAAGATCAAGATCCGGTGGCTGTCTCCGGAAGATCCCGACAACAAGAACTGCAACACTTATAAACCAGATTATTACGACATTACAGGTGAGGTGGTGCGGTGTACAGGGTGTGGCAGAGGTAGGGGGGTGTACAGGGTGTGGCAGAGGTAGGGGGGTGTACAGGGTGTGGCAGAGGTAGGGGGTGCCAGGGTGGGCACAGGTAGGGGGGGTGTGCTGGTGGTGTGGCACAGGTAGGGGGGTGTACAGGTGTGACAGGAAGGGGGGTGTACAGTGTGTGTGGGCAGAGGTGGGGGGTGGCAGGTGTGGGGCACAGGTAGGGGGGTGTTAGGGTGTGACAGAGGAAGGGGGGGTGTAGAGGTAGGGGGGGGTGTGCTACAGGGTGTGTGACAGAGGAAGGTGTACAGTGTGGCAGAGTGGGGTGTACAGGGTGTGGGTAGAGGTCGTGGGCCAGGTGTTTAGTGTACAGGGTGCCTGGGTCAGGGTCAGGTGTTCAGTGTACAGGGTGTGTCAAGTGGTCAGTCAGGTGTTCAGTGTAAGTTTTGCTGGGTCGGGGTCAGGTGCACGCACCGTGTGGCCATAGGTCAGGGGCCAGGGTTCAGTGTATGTGCAGTCGTGGGTCAGGTGTTCAGTGTACAGGGTGGCCATGGGTCAGGTGTTCAGTGTGCTGGTGTGTGCTGTGGGGTCATGGGCCAGGTGTTCAGTGTACAGGTGGTTTCATGGGTCGCGGGGTCAGGTGTGCAATGTGTGGGTGGCTGCGGGTCTTAATAGGTGTAGAGACGGTGGTCATCATCAGTGGTGGTTAGCTGTAGGGACGGTGGTGGTCACTGCGGTAGTTAGCTGTAGGGACGGTGGTGGTCATCAGTGGTGGTTAGCTGTAGGACGGTGGTGGTCATTGTGGTAGTGTTAGCTGTAAGGATGGTGGTCATCATCAGTGGTAGGTAGTTAGCTGTAGGGGCGGTGGCCATCATCAGTGGTAGTTAGCTGTAGGGACGGTGGTCATCATCAGTGGTAGTTAGCTGTAGGGACGGTGGTCATCATCAGTGGTAGTTAGCTGTAGGGACGGTGGTCATCATCAGTGGTAGTTAGCTGTAGGGACGGTGGTCATCATCAGTGGTAGTTAGCTGTAGGGACGGTGGTTATCATACAGTAAAACCCCTATTTAAAGGACTTTGGAGAGTAAAGTGCATTATATCGAGGTTTCTGTTATATATGAACCCTCCCTCTAACGGACTTTAAAGAGACGTGCCCGTTATAGTGAATCATGTCCCCTGTATTTAGGTTCAATCACCATTACCTGTTGTTGTGATATTAAGGGAGCCGAGGCATGTTAGCAACCCTCTCCTTATTTCACCTGATGATTAAACACCTTAACACTAATTAGAGAGGTTAGGGTAGGTTAGGTTAGGGTAGGGTAGGGTAGGGTAGCATTGGGGTGTTTTAATCAACAGGTGAAAATACTCGTTATATGATCCTCTACCTGTAGTTTATTAAGCCCATTGAGTCTTGGAGGGTTAAATCATTGTCCTCAAAGGGTTAAATTTATCCACAAAGGGTTAAACATCATCAAAGGGTTAAACCATCATCCACAAAGGGTTAATATGGCACTACTGTATTTGTTACTTGATGGGAACTACACGTTTTCAACAGCTAATAACGATGTCTTTTGAGATTTTTTCCTTAACGACAGTCATTCTTAACAGCTAAATATGATGTCTTTTGTGAGATTTTCCTTAACATTCATTCATTCTCAACAGCTAATGATGAAGCTTCTCTTTCAGATTTTGACTGCATCCTCACGACGGTTAATTTGGAGCGGATAGACCGTAAAACACTGCGGTTAAAACCAGAAGAAGAGACCCGAGTTAACAACATTTTAAAACGTGCCATGGACCTCGAGAAGGGTGTGTTGGCGGATAAACCAAGCGTTGACGCGAATCATCCCGACGGATGTGAGTTGTTTGGCTGGAGTTTAGGGTAGTTTGAACCATTGTGTTTAGCATGATAGTGGCACAGTTGGGTGGAGTTTATCTCAGCTCACTCAGTCTTACATCTCAGCTCACTCAGTCATACATCTCAGCTCACTCAATCCTGTATACATCCTCTTAATTTCCTGGATGTGTTTCACTGCCATGCAACATCATACTTCGTGTGTGTGTTTATCTGTGTGACAAAATTGTAACCGTGTCTCGTCATTTAAACACTGCTGATTTTAACGTACTGTATCATTTACGAGAACTGCATTATCTCAACACCCGAGTCTTCCTCAAAATAGCTGACTGATTTAGCGTGCCATTAAAGTTAGTTGGTATATATGTATCAAATAACACAAGGGGAAAACTACCACTAATTTATGACTGTCTAGATGTCTGTCTGTTGTGGAAATACCAAGGAAAATTCCCATAACCGTGTAAATATTTCCTTGTGTTGGTGTGTGTGTGAGGTTTGCCTGCATATGTATTCAAGTTAGAGTAAGGCAGTGGTCTAGTATTCAGAGTCTTCCAAATTGTCACAGAAAAAGGGGATTTGAGGTCATATTGAGAGCTTGGTAGCGGACCCTTTGTCTTACGAGTGGTTGGCCTCACGTCAGAACAGTAAAAGACTAGTCACAATAAAAGCAGATTGTAGCGTAGATCCCACTGGTAGTTGATGTGTACAGTAGCTAAAACAACTATCTGTGCATACTTTGTGGTGAACAATATGAGACCATGGACGATAAATTTTAGTATGCAAGGGCTGTCACTAGTCACACGTAAAATTTCGTAGCGTATCTACCCCCACCTGCACGGATAGTTGTTTTAGCTACTGTACAAGCAGACCTTGAGCCATGACTGTTTGGCTTATGGTCACCTGCACATATAGATGGGATCCCAGTACATTCATTGCAATAATTTGTGATTGCAGTCTCCTTTTTACATCATTTTCATTGTACTGTTGTAACATTACTTTATTTACATTATTTTGTTATGTATGGGATTTTATTACTGTTTTGTATGGGCAGGGTTGTGCTTTAACCTAACCTATACTAATCTAACCCATCCTAAATTATGGAAATAGCACTGTTCTGACTTACCAACAAAGTTACTTACATTCAGGGTCAAGGAACATATCCCTGTCGTACGTGAGGGACTGCCTGTAATTAGATTATTGTTGGTAAAGTAATTAATAGTGTAATGAAGAGTGTATTTGTTTGTAATTATTATTCTTATTATGTTTAGACTAATTACCTATTGTTATTTTAATCTTTTTCTCCAGTGATACAAAATTTTTAAAACATTAACCAGAAATTATTACAAGTTAAATAATTTTAATTCCTTTTGCTATAATTATAATTTTTGTAAAGAACTTCATAATATTTTAAACTTAAACAATTCAAGACTTTTAAAACCTCAACTTGAAATGATAATAAATTCGCAAATCTGAATAAACTTTCACTGGATCTAATAAACTTTCACTGTACCAAATAAACTTTCACCGTATCTCATAAACTTTCACCGTACCTAATATACAATAAATCCTGACGCATACAAATCGCCTTTCAGTGGATCTTTCATTGTACACAAACGAAGACCAGCTTAAGAGGAGGAGGAAGAGAAATTCAACAGGGAAGAGGAAAAAGAAGGATGAGTCTTCAGGAGAGAGCGGCGTAGAGTCTGAGGAAGATGAGGAGACAGATAGTGAAGGTGAGAGAAGAATTAATTACCTGGGTGTTGTTATTAGGTGAAGAACGGGAATAGATAGTGAGATAAAGAGAGAGATAGTGAGATAAAGAGATAGTGAGAAGAAGAGAGAGAGATAGATGTGTATCGGGATGGGAAAATATATTGGGTTCAGATAAATAATTGAGATGTGTACAGGGTGTGCCATAGTGTGTGTGTGATTATTGTACAGGGTGTGTCATAGTGTGTGTGTGATTATTGTACAGGGTGTGTCATAGTGTGTGTGATTATTGTACAGGGTGTCTCATAGGGTGTGTTTATTGTACAGGGTGTCTCATAGGGTGTGTTTATTGTACAGGGTGTCTCATAGGGTGTGTTTTTTGTACAGGGTGTGTGATTATTGTACAGGTAAACTAAGCTGGGATGTCTAATTATCATGTAAACTAAGCTGGGGTGTCTCAGGTAAAATAAGCTGGGGTGTCTCATGCAAACTAAGCTGGGATGTCTCATGCAAACTAAGCTGGGGTGTCTCAGGTAAAATAAACTGGGATGTCTTTAATTATCAGGTGATCCATATTTTCCCATTGTACAGTAAGTAAAACAACTATCTATGCAGGTGGGGGTCAATATGCTCTGTTTACGTGTGACTAGTGACAGCCCTCGTCCATGGTCTCATATTGTTTCCCCCACAAAGAATACACAGATAGTTGTTGTAGCTACTGTACACTTCGACCTTTCTCTTGCTTTGAGATGGTATGGTCGCTATCAAGAGAAATTTGGATATTTTATTCATTTATAATTAGTTGTTTTGTCTGTTTTATTATGCTCATAACTACTTGATGTCATAAATGTCTGGCTGTCAAACATTATGTTGTATTTTGGTATTCTATCTCTTTCCCCTTTACCTCCCTTTCCCCCCCTTTACCCTCTCCCCTTTATCTCTCCTCTCTTTATCTCCCTCTCTCCCTCTCCTCCCTTTATACCTCCCTCTCCCCCCACCATCTCCCCCTTTACTCTTCCTCTCACCCCCCTTTACCCCTCTCCCTTTACCCCCTCTTTACCTCCCTCTCCTCCCACCTACCATCTATCACTAAGTTACACATTCTTCCTCAGTCTTCCACTTCCTGTTCTCTCTAAATGTCTGAACCACAATAGTAAACACATTTTGACTATATTTTCTGCTGTATTTTTTGTAAGTTATTGTTGGTTGTGGTTTGTGACTTGTACTTTCTTCTACAGGAGAAGAGAGCCCCAAGAAAGTTGCACGAACTCCCGCCAGACGTAACCCAAGAGCTGGCAGCAAGACTCCCGCTAAGGGCAAAATTTCTACGCCTGCTTCAACAAAAGCCAAAAGTGAGTGTCGTTGAGTTTCAGTCTTGAGTCCATAAAGTTGCACGAACCATCGTGCAGTACATAGAGGATATTGCTTCTTGGATATAGATACTGTATAGTTTATATAGATGTTATGCAAGCTTCCCACCTTACCTCAAGGTGGAGGGAACGGCCTCTGTGATACAGCAGGTGCTAGAGGGACTTGCAATCACCATATGGAGGTAATTGATAAATGACAATATGTGATATAAGATGAGATAATTGCCACGCGAGGACAACCCTGCAGTTAATGTGGGACTGAGATACTGTAAGACCATGATATACATAGAACAGGTGATAACTTGACTCAGAACCTTCAGTGATGAGGTTGTTTCTCCACACACAAATAAGAGGTAATTCTTTTGTGTCATTTCCTGCTGAGCAGCGAGGTAACTTCCCGGGCCAGAAGAATTGAATAAGGTAAGGACCCCCGTGGTCACTTGGATCTTCCCCCGCCACACCACGTCCGGCACGCACGCACGTTCTCTGTGGCGGTAACACGTAAAGCTAGATTAAGTTATGGACGGTGTAATGTGCGTTGACCTACGGCAACGACACACGTAACTAGATAACTTATTGATGTTGTGGTTATTACCCTTGAGATTCACACTTTACCCCGATGACACTGTGTTTACGTGGAGAGAATATTTGACCTGTTATTACATCACTCGTATATGGTGTTATAGGAGGGAACACCATAGCAGAACACAATGGTTACATCAGCGAGAACATGTCAGTGTGTTCCTCCTGAGTCCGGCCTCGGTGCACCATACTGGAAAACATTGACGGGAAATTAAAAAAAGAAATAAACGTAAATGTTTTTAATTTTTAGGGAGTGAATTATTTTTTTTTTATCTATAGTGAATTTTCCAACTATGGTGCATTGTGGCCTGACAGGTATAGTACATTGATCACCTGTTAATTAGACCTGGCACCTAGCGGGTTACCTCACACCTCCCTCGATCACCTGTCAGTTCATCCGAGTGTCGTTCACCTTTGGTGTTCACAGTGAAACCTCTATATAATGGACTGCTCTTTATATAATCCCTAAAATGGGGGTTTTACATATAACGGACCCTCGATATAATGGACTTTGCTCTCAATATACTCCGTTATATGGAGGTTTCACCGCACTTGATATAAATATTTGGGGGAAAATTGAAATAATATTTTACACTTTAAATACTACAAAGGGTAATTAAGAAGTGACATAAATGGGGTGGTGATTACAGAGTAACTGTATAGGAAATGAAATAGGTCTTCAGAACTAGGAATGGGTAGTTATTGGTGAACGATGTCATGGTAGTTGGCTCTTGTGACCACTGAAACACAAACCAAGTGTAATGGAGTGGTAGCTGTGTTGTGTGTTTACCTCTTCATTATAATTCACCTGATAAATTCGTAAACTAAATATACAGGTAAAATACACTACATATCAACTAAATAAACTACGCTACATAGGGAGACCGAGGAGGGGGGGGTGAGTTAAGGCCTATTCTCGGGGGTTTTGTTATTTATTGTCTCGGCTAATATCACCTTCTGGTAGTGAGGGAGAGGTGTAGGAGTAGAATTTTCGGGTAAGCGAGTTTTCGTACAGCGAACGTAGGTGTTTCTCTGTGATTGGTTGGGGTTCTTCCACGGGTTATCGGTGTGTGCGCTTAATATTTGTTGATTGGCTGTCTCTTTTCCATTTATTTGTGTGTTTCTGTTCTCCCTCTCCCCTCTTTCTTAACCTTTAAAGAGTATCCATTGTCTGCAGAAGTTAGCTGTAGGGACAGTGGCCATCATCAGTTCCCAAAACTGGAATTTTCCAAAAAAATTCCAGCTTTGGGAATGATTTTCCAAGAAAATTTCAATTCCGTCTATCAGAGAGTTCCGTGTTTGAGGGATTCTGGTTCACGGAGATATTACTGTATACTATTATGCACTGTCCCATGTAACTGTGTGTGTAGCATGTGTGGGCGTTCGAAGGTGTCTTGTATTCTGCGCTTACTTGAATGTATTGTATTTTTTCCTGCATCTCCTGTAACTTGTAAGGATTAGCCCAAAATAATGGTGAGAGATTTACTGTACTTGGGGGAGGGGGGGGGGATTAGTCCGAATTACACTGAAGCTGAGTGAAGAAGATAATTTCATCCCCCAAATGAAATTACCGATTATTTTTGAACGTCACTTGATACTATGCTGTGATCTTAGCTTGAGTATGATAACACTCGCTGGAATGACATGGGTGATCTTGAGAGTTTGGTAGGGGTCCTGGCTTCCCCCTTAAGAGCTGAGAGGAGTTTTGATAACCAGTGGATTACATAATTTTCAAGGGTTTTGAGGGCATTTGACTGTAGGGAAAGATGTATTGGGTGTCCCAGAAATATCTCCCTGCCTCCCTTCCTGTCTGTTCTCTGCCTCTTTTCCTGTCTGCTCTCTGCCTCCCTCCCTCCCTGTCTGCTCCCTGTATCCCTCCCTGCCTGCTCACTGAGACACTGTGATTTGGAGGCAGGGAAATTTTTCTGAGACAACCTATATGTGAAATGTAACTGGGATGGCAACTGTCTAAAGGGGTTTTGCTTTTGAAAGGTAATTAGCATGAAATATGATGCTTTACAATGAGGGCGGTAATTTTTTTAAAGATTTCATTGTGTTTTGAGTAGAAGGGAAAGAAAAAAGTTATATTCTTATTAGTACTGTTATTATTATTATTATTAGTAGCAGTAGAGGTAGTAGTGGTACCTGTAGTAGTAGAAGTAACAGTAGCAATAGTAATAACAGTAATAGTACAGTATTAGTTATTATCATTAAAATGGTTAACAGTGAGAGGATTATGATCTTGTGGTGTTGCTGACTTGAATACAAAATTGGTTTATATCACAATGTGTGTATACCCGAGGTCACACTTAGTCACACGTCAAGAGATAATATTTACACCTCATGAGTTAGTGGTCTCGTCAGCCCCTACTTACCAACACCACTACGGCTGTCTTAATGTACACATGCACCAAATAGTATCCATGTGATATTGTTTGAGAAAATATGACGCAACAGATGAAGGATTTTGACAACCCTACCGAGAGGTCAAGAGTCGCGGCGTTCATTTTGGAATTCATCGGGACAGACACACACACGTACACACACACACATACAGGTAATTTAAGTTAGGGTTCCTGTAACATCCACCGCAAGGGGAAAAAAAAGGGTAAAAACAAAGACTTCAATAAAATTTGTCATACATAGGAAAGTGATTTACAATATGATCAGTGTTATAGTGAAATCTCCATATAGCGGACTTCTCTCTCCCTGTAATCATTATATGAAGGTTTCACATCTAACGGACTTCTCCATCTATGTAGTTCATTATATGGAGGTTTCACAGCTAACGAACCCTCGACATAATGTACGTAGTCCGCTAAATAGAGGTTTTGCTGTACGTACACCCTATCTATTGTACAAGAACCAATTCACTTACCTGTACAGTACATTAATTAGTTATATTTTGCATTACACTTACCTGTTGTGCTCAAAGTGTTCCACACCTCACTGCACGGTATTAGAATTTTGTGGCGTTTATGAAAGTTGTTATTTATTTGTTTACTTTAAACTATTTGGTTTTAGTCTTTTAAGCCTTTGAATTTTGCAACCTAAGCTGTTGCGTCGCCAGGGATGTAATTACCCCAATCAATCATCAGTCAATCTCATTACAGTACATAGAGAATCAACCAATGACTGACTGCATCTCATCATACTTACCCATAGCCGTTGATTCATTCCTTTAAGACTATTTCACGTCATTAGCATCGACCCCTAACAGCTCAACCATACAACTGGGTCATCAATTTATCAGAGAACCGTAAATGATTATTTTATTTTAGAACATGTAATGAACGGTAGCTTATGAATCAGGCGGAATAGAATCTGTTCATCTGGTTCTGTCTATTGTAAAATGTTCTTCACTGTCAGATTTTTGTCAGGTCATCACGTTCAGTTTTTTTGTTAGGTTCCTGTTCATCGCACGACATATATTAAATCATTTAGGGTTCGTGAATAAAAACAATGACATCGTGCATGTTTTGTATCTCGGTCAATTGTGAAAGCAACTGGTGACATATTGCTTCTTTCTATAACTATTTCACAATCACTTGGGTATAGGAACAAGGAGTGACAGTTCATTGTATATAGGAACAAGGAGTGACAGTTCATTGTATATAGGAACAAGAAGAGACAGTTCATTGTATATAGGAACAAGGAGAGACAGTTCATTGTATATAGGAACAAGGAGTGACAGTTCATTGTATATAGGAACAAGGAGAGACAGTTCATTGTATATATCAACAGTTCATTGTATATAGGAACAAGGAGAGACAGTTCATTGTATATAGGAACAAGGAGTGACAGTTCATTGTATATAGGAACAAGGAGTGACAGTTCATTGTATATAGGAACAAGGAGTGACAGTTCATTGTATATAGGAGTGACAGTTCATTGTATATAGGAACAAGGAGTGACAGTTCATTGTATATAGGAACAAGGAGGACAGTTCATTGTATATAGGAACAAGAGTGACAGTTCATTGTATATAGAACAAGGAGGACAGTTCATTGTATATAGGAAGAAGAAGAGAGACAGTTCATTGTATATAGGAACAAGGAGTGACAGTTCATTGTATATAGGAACAAGGAGTGACAGTTCATTGTATATAGGAACAAGGAGAGACAGTTCATTGTATATAGGAACAAGGAGTGACAGTTCATTGTATATAGGAACAAGGAGAGACAGTTCATTGTATATAGGAACAAGGAGTGACGGTTCATTGTATATAGGAACAAGGAGAGACAGTTCATTGTATATAGGAACAAGGAGTGACAGTTCATTGTATATAGGAACAAGGAGAGACAGTTCATTGTATATAGGAACAAGGAGAGACAGTTCATTGTATATAGGAACAAGGAGTGACAGTTCATTGTATATAGGAACAAGGAGTGACAGTTCATTGTATATAGGAACAAGGAGTGACAGTTCATTGTACATATCAACAAGGAGTGACGTCCATTCGTAGTCTAAATTTGTCCACGTTTTTCGAGGGTAACCAATGCTGTGTAACGTGTAGCTTAACCCATTCACTTTGAGGTTTTTGTTTGGTTACTGCTTGAAGATTTTATTCATCAGAGAAGATTTAATACCATATACAAGGGAGGGAATGCAGTCAGTGTAATATCCTTGGTCCTGTAATTTGGTAACAGATATGTGGGGAAGATTGTAAGATATTCTGTACTTGTGATTTGTATTAAATGATTCGGTAAATATTGAAAAATGTAATAGAATGATTTTAAAGTTTATGAACATTGATCATTAATAGTTCTTTCATAATACAGGGTTTAAATTTTTTTAAAGATATCCTGTACTATATATTGTATTAAAAGATTTGGTAAATATTGAAAAAATGTAATGGAATGATTTTGAAGTATATGAACAGTGGCCATTACAAACCAGCAGTGATTAATCTTGATGTACAGTAATATTAAAACAGCAATTAGAGAAAGACGGGTGGGGGGGGGGGGTAAAGCTCTAATCACCCGCCAAAGGCTCACCACCTCCTCTTCTGAATCACGAACTCCAGAGATTCAGATTCATGAACCCGAAGCAGTAAAGTTGCATTGGTCTGTTTATAAATGGTTCGGAAGGAGAAGTGATGAGCCTTTTGTTAAGAGGTACCGGGACACTGCTGACTGCTTGAGTGGTCGGGGAAATATATGTTGTGGATTGCAGTGATATAAAAGCATGCAGTGAAAATGTTATACAGTGAAACCTCAATATAGTGGACTTATATATCAGTGTAGTTTGTTAGATGGAGGTTTCTAATCTAACGGACCCTCTATATAATGGACTTTCCCTTCCATATAGTCCACTAAATAGAGGACTCATTGTACTACATTATAAATCTCTCTCTGGATCTTCAAAGCTTAATATTGGGATGTTATTGACAAGTAAAAAACAAAAACATTGATTTATTCTTTGTTTTCTGATCCACTCATGAAAGCACTGTAGCCTCTCTTACTGCTCCACCAACCCTGAGATTCAGACAGGCGAATCCGAATAGACGAGTGAATCCGAAGCATCTATGGGCAGAATAATGCCTCAGTTATTGCTTCGGGTTCATAAGTCTGAATCCCTCGGGTCTGGAAGTTTGAATCTCTCGGGGTTCGAAGTCTGAATCCCTCGGGGTTCGTAAATCTGAATCTCTGGGTTCGTGGGGTAGTGAGAGGCGACACGACTTAAGTTTACCAGTGTACATTATGGGTTACCACTTGAGAGTCTCGAGTATTTGAAGATGTTTATTATTAGTTTACTGTACACATGTAGGTCATAAAAATTGTCCCTTGGCTGTGTGCGAGGACGTTGATGGTGGTCTTAATATACAGGGTACGTGAGAGACTAGGTTAAAGGTCGTGAGAACCGGAACAAACACTCATTATATCAGTTTATGGTTGGCAGCCCTAAGGTCAGTTTGCTTAGGGCAGTATAATATAGCTGGTGATAACAATAATTTCATCTCTCGTACCATTGTGAGTAATATCTCTGTGGTTTGTTTTACTTCAAGGAACAATTACTGTCGAGTGAAGAGATATGGGCAGGTTTTAGCTACAGGACTAAGTAATTGTTTCTTGACGAATGAGTAATGTCTTGTCTCATCATAGGATTCACTCTGTTGGTAAATGACTTTAATATGCTGTACTGTACCTTGTTCTTTGTGCTTTAATGTGTGTGTAAACCGGTATATGGTGGGTGTGCGTGCGTGTGCGTGGTGAAGTAAACATGACTAAGAGATGAAAAGTCGGGAATAAAGCTCCATCTCTTAGTTGATTCCTTCACTACCACACTACGTACTGTACACACACACACACACACACACACACACACACACACACACACACACACACACAATGGTTTATATAAGACTGTAAAACATAAAAGATACCAATATTTAATAATATTTTTATTAACTATTTATTGGGAGGAAATATTATTGGTATTTTGTGTGTGCAGTTATATACAAATGGTTTACTTTTTGTATGAGATTTAATTCTTTCATATATATAGTACGCTTGTATGTGATAAAGAAAATGTAGTTTAATCTCAAGGGGTTAGGAAGATTGGTGGCAACAGCCCCTAAAATATTGTAATTGGAGGGCTGTGGTGACCAACCCTCAGACGTGAATTATGGAATGTTTAGAAATAGGTCGATTACGCTTGAGTTTATTTATGTAGCACTCTAAACGGTCACAGTACGTGGAAGATAACAAGTACTGTACCTGTATGAGCTGTAGGTCAGTATTAGGTGTGGGTATAAGCTAACTACAGGCTTGTTATTTTAATACAGTACATTACCATTTTTTTGTTCTTGGTATTAATTTTCTTTTAATTATCATTAATCAGCAAGACAAACTAGTGTACAGTATTTATTATCACACTTAAGCTACAGATATAATTTGTTTTATTAATTATTACTGTCTTAATTGATCTAAAAGTATTGAAGTATTTGTAAGGTAAAACCATCAAACTAATTGTAACGATAAACTAAATTATTTTTTTTTTTTTACTCTTCTATCATTTGGTCTTTTATCTGCAGCATTAACCAAGACCAAGACTCCTCGAATCTCCCCTCTGAAGGCAGGACGTAAGGCTATGCCCAAGATCCCATTAAAAGCAACACCCAAGACCAGTACTCTAAAGGCCACCGCTGCCGCCGCCACCACCACCACAAGCACCACCACCACCATCATCACCCCCCCTAAGGCCGCTCTTCCCCCCAAGGCCACTCCAAAATCAGGGCGACGAGCAGCACGCAAATAGCCCAAGGAGGAAATGGAGGAGGCGTCTGAAGGAATTACCCAACAGCAAAAACCGCGGGGAATGAGTGCACCAAATGACCTGACTACATGCATAAGGCTGATGTTGTTAGCAAAATAGGTACTCGTCCAATTATTGAATTAAGGAAATCGTCAGGCTTTTTGGATTAAGAAAATTCACAAAGCTGTAGTGTGTGTGTGTGTGTGTGTGTGCGTGTGTGTGTGTGCATGTGTGTGTGTGTGTGTGAGTGTGTGTGAGTGAGAGCGCCTTAATGCATATACTGATGATGAAGGCAAAAAAGTCATTTTGTATATGAGCAATTCTTACCTTCTCTCCTCCCCCACTCCCTCCTCCTCCTCCTCCCTTGGCATCACTGAAATTGTTATTGTTTGTAAACATAATCTTTCTTTCCTCCCGCCCCCCCTCCCCCCTCTATGCTCTGCCCCCTTTTTTTTACAAATAATAAAGCCGTTCATTATTGGAATGCAAGGTGGATCATTTCCTTGTGTGTGTGTGAGAACTCTTGAATAATTGTGTGACTGTGTGTGTACAAAACTTTGTGAGGGTATATGTAACCAATTTAAATTAACTAGAGGATAGGTTATGTTCAGAGTACATATTAATGTTTAATCTATTGTATATGTATAATAGTTCTCAGTGTACAACTCAAACTTTTTATATCATTACAAGTGTGGCATTCCCCCCTCCCTTCCCCTCCCCTCACTATTTCTCTAACCCCTGAGGAACTCCTTGAGTCGAGGAACCCCTGGGTTGTGGAAGCCCTTGAATCTAGGAAGCCCCTGAGTTGAGGAAATCCTTGGGTTGAGGAAGCCTCAGATTTGCATTGGTATGTTACAAGAGACTGTAAATCACTGCTCAACATAAAATGAACCTTGTGAATGGATCAACCCAATATGAGTGAAGTAAGAGGTGGAGCATAGTTATGTACTGTATCATAAGGTTTATGCAGCTGTACAAGAAAGAAGCACTTCACTAGTTTTGTCAATTGGGTGATTTACAGAGTTTGAGTTTGTATAGTTTCTTACTAAATATATAAAACTGATTGGTTTTGCAATTACTCTTTTATGATTATTATTATTATTAATATTTGTCAACAAAAAATGTTTTATTTTTTGAAGTGGAAATGCAATATTTTGCTACTGTTAATGCACGATTACTACCTGCACTACAGTATTGAGCAATTGGTTTAGGAATTACCAGACAGTAGCATAGTTTAGCCTCTGCCCTCTACCGTGCGAGCAAGACGTGAAAAAATAAAGGCACGACGCTCGAATCCTCCGAGTGAAGTGTCGATACAAACTCAAAAATAACGTGGAGGCAGAGGCACTGTAGGCTGTACATAAGTAATGACCCGTAACAATTTGATGTATTGTCTTGATCGTAGGTGTGTGACTCATGAATGCCGTTTATGTTACAGACTATATTGGGCTGGAATTCTTAGAGACCACTTGAGTGATGAACGATGTAAAATAAAATCCATCCTGATATTCCCCGACATGTTAAATGATGACACATGCCAACTCATTAATAAGTAGCAATTAATGGCCATATTGTTTCAGGCATTGAAGCATTGAGGTGCATTTTTCTACTTGTACAACTAATTCTATGCCGTGTGGTGGTAGATGAAGGCATTACAAGGAACGATTGCATTCAAGTCGTGTTTAAGAATTTAGGTCTCGGAGCATATCCGGGCTTTGATAGGAGATGTGCCGAGAGCGAGTTCTTTATCATGGGGGAAACCAAGCACTGATGAGGCCCTCGTGTGGGGGTGGTGGTCAGAATCCCCACCGCGTGACCCCACCAGTGCTCACCAATGGACGGGGGTGATGTGGGAGGTATATTGACCTTTATACCTTCGACTAAAACAAAAAAAAAATTGTTAAAAGACTGATCGACGTCACATCTTTCACAGCGAGTAAGACCGAAGTGCCCGGCCGTTATTATGTTTTCCATTGGTATGTGAACATTACCAACAGTAGGGTGTAATGTTAAATGGAAACCAATTGTTCTTTGATACAATGTTGAATTAAAGAAACGGCAACAGTACTCTTTAATGCGTTGCTTTTATAACGTTCGGTCATTTTTATACAAACCGTGAGGAGTTTTTGGGTATTTGTAAAGTTTCAATGTACTGTACACCCTCCTAGTGCAAACTTGTTAGGGACATAAGCTATACTGACTGATAGTGGAGTTAGTACAAGCATGATGGTATTTATACGTCTGTTTATTTCTCAAGGAGCCGAGATGACGAGATGCTCCGTATATTTTATCGCTAATTTGAAAGTAATAATTCAGATTTGGGTCATATTAAAGAGTTGGAATTATCCTTCACCGAAAACCTCCCCTGCTTGGACGGCTTCACTGTGTGAGAGACCGGCCGGAAGAGTTCTTTATTTGAAGAGTTTGCCGGCCGTGAAACGCTTGTAACAAGACTGCAGTTTACGTTACAAATTTTGCAGGATGTCTTATTTTGCCGTTTAGAAGAATCGGTCACCCCGGGGTAAACTTTACGAGGTTTAGTTACTTTTTGTGGACATATTTGCCAAGGTTGTTAGTTTTAACTTTTTTCCTTGATATTAAGGATGGATATAATCTCTGTTGTCCACACCAGTCCACAAGTCCAAGTGTTTGTAGAATTAAACAAAAATTTCCCTTGTTTATGAAGTAATAATTGGACTGTAGTATCTTTTGATAATTTACAGGGACTCCACAGTAAACCAAGGGATTTTAATATTTAATTTTTTTAGCTGTATGTATTTAAAAATTGCCAGGATTTTATTTTAAGCATTTTCTGTGAATGTGTTTGTTAACCCCCGCAAAAAAAAATATGATCCAAGTTATGTAAATTATGCTTTTCCAATAGTTGCTATTAAAGATTATTTTGAGGAAAACTATATATTTTTTGAATGGCAAAGATCCTTTTTGTGAGAAAATTGAATATTAGGGATTTGGCCAGTTGGTGCCATCAGGTGAGCTGAGCTATTTTGAGTCTACAATAATCTACAATAAATTTTGGAAATTGACAAGAGGATACACATTTGTTTCACTACAAACGTTGAAAAAGCATAAAGAATATTATTATTGAGCATTTCGGGGAATATAATTGGAAGTATTAGTATTATTTAGACTGATATAAACACTTACAAAATATTGGCATTATCAATGTTGTACACTGGAAGTAATGTACAATATTGTATTAAAAATTATGTTATTTAGAAATATTTACACATGTACACTAGATAACACTTACACATGTACACTAAATAACACTTACACATGTACACTAAATAACACTTACACATGTACACTAAATAGCACTTACACATGTACACTAAATAACACTTACACATGTACACTAAATAACACTTACACATGTACACTAAATAACACTTACACATGTACACTAAATAACACTTACACATGTACACTAAATAACACTACATATGTACAGTTAATCAAAAACTATCTGTACTTGGGGTAGTCGATGACTCCCAGAATAAACGCCGCGACTCCTGTTGTCTCGGTAGAGTTGTCAAAATCCTTTACCCATTGTGTCACATTTTCTCGACACAATTTGGTATAGATACTTTTATTGATCGACCGTACACTTGAAATAATAGAATTTTTATTTGTACACTTAATAGATAAAAATTTGCATTTACATTTGTACACTTACGTTCAAGACTCGAAATAGAATGAGGTCAATAATTCCTCGTAATGACCTGTGCAAAAAATAACCAGGGTCGCCGTTCTCAAAGGGTCATAGTGAGAATATTTCGCGTACTGAAGAGTAAGAATTCACCCGACTATTGAAATTAACCTAATCCAAAAATTAGTTGAAAAGTCTCAAAATTATACAGAAATTGATACATATAGTAATTTTAACAGTTGATCTATTAAAATTATTACTTTATATTAATTTAGTATCAGGTTAATGTACAGGATCTAATGGAATAATTTTAACATAGATTTCGCCCCTATAACTGGCATTACTAATTTAACCCATCCAATTAAGGTCAAGTATCAAAACCCCTAGATGCTAAATATTCGAGTTATGAACCTTGATGACCTAACCTGACTGGCAGAGAATCGTGTATATCAATGCTTTAGTCTTATCATTTTTACTTGGTATTTTTTTAACACATTAGGATTGTTCTAAATATAATTACCAAGTATACAGCAAAGGTTCAGTTTCATCCCCTTTTTGCAACAAACCATTTTCACGAACTATTTTACATACAAGTAGGAAATTGTTTTAATAAGTAAATATCATTGTACATTTGAGTCTTAATTTCCTCCCCCTGTGATTTTAAGTTTGGTTTAGTTAGATATTAAACCTATTGAGAGATGACCTGTAGATTAGGCACCCTATATTATATTACCTGATGGTTAAACACACTAATACTAACTTAAACCTAACCTAACCTAACCTAAATTAACCCAGGTAGTAATAGTATGTTAAACCATCAGGTGAAATAGGAGGGGTGGCTGATCTTCATGTGGTCCCAAACTAGCTAACGTAGTCTTATAAATAGGAATAATATGTGGAAATTTTAATATTATTCTTCAGTATTTAATGTGGAATTTTTTTTTATTGTTATGTTGGATATAATGTGAAAATTCCAACATTTCTCAGCATTTTTTTGAGTTTGTAGAATTTGGTGTAGAATTTCATATTATTCCTATCAGTAATTTAGATATAGAGTTAAATTAATGTTAAATAGCTAATAACTGGGTAGAAGTACTTTATGGAGAGTATTGTATAGAGCTGAGCATTATAACCTTGAGAGCTATTTATAAAGGTTATATCAACGTAGATTAAGGTGAGTTATATATACATGTGTGTGATATACATATGAGTACTTAATACCTCCACTGGAATAAATTTGAGGTAAGTTAAGGATTTTATTCCATATGTAAGTTTTATAAAGTTTAATATCTAAAAATATCAAGGGGTAAAAAACGAATTTATTTAAGTATCCATTGTTAGTTATGAGGTTAAAAAACTAAGATTTTGCCATTTCTGCTGTATATGTTGTGGTATAATTGTTAATGAGTGAAGTGGTGGTTTGAAAATGATATCTAAACGGGAATGCGGCAGAGAGTGTTCGGCCATTTTGTGACTCTCGCCCCTAGAGTGAGGCTCAATAGAGGTGACCTGCTCCCTCCCCGCCCGCTGTGTATCATGGCGTCTCCACCAACCACAAGCGTCATTATTTCAAACTGAATCTCCTCCAACCAATCACAGTTCAAATAGGTCCACGCGTCATCACTAACCCAATACCGCTCTGTTATACATTCTCCTTCAACCAATGGGAGCACCGGTCTCAAACCATGGTAGCCAATCAGCATCAGCCCGCCAAAGCGTCCGTTAGTCTTGATGTGAGTGTCCGGGCATTAAATCCTATCGGTTCTTTTCCACAAATATTCGGTAAGTACGGAATAACTTGACTATAAAGCTTAATTATAATGACACCAAATTAATAGTGAATTTATGGTGATTTTGGAGGAGAAGGTTGTGAGGTAGAGTGAAGTAGGAGGTGAGGAGGAGGTAGAGAAAAGTGGAGGAGGTTCAAATGTGGCGGGAGTGACGGAGTGACGCTGGTGCCTGGCTTCCCTCCCTCGCCTCCCGTCCCTCGCCTCCCGTCCCTCACCTGTTCCTCCTAACCATAAAACTACATAATTAACCTCGAATAATATCTACATTTAATACGAATTAACTGCCATTAACCATCATTAACCAATTTATGCCACGTAATTTAAATCGATAATTACAATTTATTAACCCATGCGTGATTAATGTCTGTCTGTCTGTTATTCGTAGTTACCCATTAGTATTTTATTTATTGTTATATATGTTAAAAAAAAGTTGCTTATTGTACTAAATGGATGAGGGTTTGATTGTTGTAGTTGTGGTGGTGATTGTTGTTGTTGTGGTGGTGATTGTTGTTGTGGTGTTAGTGATTGTTGTTTATAGTGAAAAGTATTGTGCTTGTGGTGGTTCAGTTCTGGTGCCCTTATTATAGAATGGATATCAATTCACTGGAGTCGGTGCAGCGAAGAATGACGAAAATGATTCCAGGACTTAGAAACCTTCCATATCAAGATAGGTTAAAGAAACTAAACTTACATTCCCTAGAAAGACGAAGAGTGCGGGGAGATATGATAGAAGTATTTAAGTGGGTGAAAGGAATCAATAAAGGAGATATAGATAAAGTTCTTATAATATCCGAGCAGGATAGGACTCGGAGCAACGGATTTAAGTTGGATAAGTTTAGGTTTAGGAGGGAGATAGGAAGGAACTGGTTCACAAATAGAGTGGTGGACGAGTGGAACAAGCTTACCAACTTTAGTAAGTGCTTGAAAGTTTTAAAAGGAGGCTAGACAGATTCATGGATGATAGAGAGTGGCCTATTGCAGAATCCTTATGTTCTGTGATTGGTTGTGTGATTGTTAAACGTTATTGGTTGGCAGGTGTAGTGTTTTGATGGTAGATAAGACTTTGGTAGGATGTTAAGTTAGCGTTAGGGTGTCTAATCTTCAGGTGAAATAAGCTGGGGGTGCTTAATCTTCAGGTGGTCCCTTGTTGATAATTTTGTTGGCTGATAGTGATGGTGGTTGTAGTTGTGGTAGAGTAAATACTTCATAATCTATCCCAACCATTTACACCTGGGGAGAATTTAACAAGGATTATTCCAATGATCTTTTGAATACCTTACTATAGTTATTTCCTCCTCGTAAATCCCTTCTTTGTGCAGGATGTATCAACAGATCTCCCGTCTGTGTTCGGGGATCACTTTATTCATTTATTAAATTATTCACATCAGGTATGAATGACCACACGTGAATGGGGGGGATACATTTTATTTTAGTTTCTTTAAAGGAAATATAAGATTCAGAATGAGCACTACTTAACGTTCATAGTAAAGTCATCGTGCTCATTGGATAGATCATTGTATTTAAAGAGCCAGGACATTCATTGTAGTCATCGTACTCAAGGGGTAAGGAATTTTTTTATTGGATGTATTGTAATTTTTGCATTTATTTTTTTTACCCAGAAAGTTTATCAAAGTTAAATAAGAAATCGACCATGGTTTGTTGTTCGTGTTTGACAGTAGTATCACTTCGCCCCCTTCCTCCCTGCCGTCAGTAGCTAAGTAATTTATGACAGCCTAATTATTAAACTACTACAATATGAGCAACAGGTACACTAAAACGTCAAATGTGGCGTTAAATGATACGATGATGGAATTCACAAGTCATTATATTTCCATTGAGTGAACTGGGCTGACAAACCATGAAATTACACCATTTACAAATTACACTTCAGGTAAAATTATCAATAAGGGAAATGTTAAACGCCATTTACAATACTGTCAAGGGTAGATTGTGTTAAGGAAATTGTTTTAATGTCAAGTTCAAGTATTTTTTCTTGACCTTTCATTATCATTTATTCTGACAGGAAACACATTCATATTCTTCATTGCTATTCGTAACGTGTTGTCCTACTATGGTCATTTCATCCCAATCACCAATTGAATTACGCAATTAAAAGTGTCGTCATTTACTCTTACTTTTGGTTCCAGGGGTGATTGGTTAGGTTAAGTTACGGAATCTCCAAAACTATAAATTAATTTTTTAATATACGATAGAATTATGGATAGATAGTTTGAAATTACTTACAAAATGACCTTAATTAATAAATAAACGCATTCAAATCTTAATTCTATTTGAAGACAGGTTTCAATGACAACTTGTAACACTGAGGTGGTGATATTCACAATCCTGTTTTCTGTGAATAGATTAAAGTTTAACAGCAGACGCCTGGCTCAGATTACAGTCACTCGCAGATAAGTAACTGTACCTTGAAATCTGGCCACTCATGTAAGTCAAAATCCTGTTAATTCTAAAACTAAACACTAACTCCTCACTACTAAGATAGATGTCCCTGTGTTCCTGTGATGTCGGACGAAGGGGCGATCAAATTATATTGGTGATGCAACACTACCGACCTTGGTTCACCGAGAGCCGTACTGATGTATTAATGCCGCTGATTGTCAAGAACTCAATAAAATTCTACCAAAATTTTAGACTATTATGAACTGGTCAATAATTTGGCACTATTTTGAAGTTGGAATTAGATTATTTTGCCTCGTAACTGGTGCTAAGTAAACGTTATAGTTATGGTAATCTCAATAAAAAGTTGGTACCTATTTTGGATGTTCTTTAAAATATATAAATCAATTCGGTTAAATTTTACATCCTCGGTTAGAAGGAATTTTCATAGTACCAAGTTTCACCAATCTGTGAATCCAGACCTGACTATCCAACAAGCTGTGCACATTAGTTACTATAAGTTTCTAATAAAACAAATGGAACTTATTACTGCCAGTAGTTCATTCATGGTACCCAACTCTTGTTCTTTTATAATTAGAAAAAAAATATAATACTTTGAAGATAACAGGTACACCTAACGTCTATCACACTGAATATAATAAACTTTTGTGTTATAGCTGTTTTGTTAGGCTGTTAGAGCGAGCTTGATCTAGAACAACCAACACGACAGGACATCACACCACTGTTTTGAAATACTTGACCATTGCCAAACTCCGCTAACATGCCGATAGTTGCAAGCTTTTCTATTACAGGTTAAAAAAAACATCAAGTATTTATCCTTGTTGTTAGATATCGCTTCTCTACCGCACATTTAAACGCTGGATAATATTACTATATATGAGTCTGTACTTGCTTTGTATACCCATAACGTGAAATGGGTTTGAAATTCTCAGAAACAGTCGTATATATGGTACGGCATTCTTTCGGCAACTGTGTAGTATTTATTCAACGTATATCATTGCAGTACTAATCTATGTACTAGGCCTAAGTCACCTCGCACTCCCCATACTAGAGATTCTTGCTACCCTTCCAAGGTACAGTGGTGGTGGTGGTGGTTGAGCCAGTTTGAAGTAGCAGCCACGCGTGGGCACATGTGTGTAGTGTAGTGTGTGGATCTTTGTTTTGGTGACTCGAGGGAAGTGCCATAGTGGACCTGGGAGCTTAAATTTTCCACGTTTGGTAAGTTAGTGTTTTCTGGTTCATTGAGAAAGTACCGGTGCATTTCTTTTCGTTAGGTTAGTAAGGCAGATGCAATATGAGCCAAGTATTGTGAATAAAATACCTTGTGATAAATTGCTTATTTGATATACAGTAGTTTCAGAAGTTTTATACGTGACTACAAAGTGATCAAGTTTTAAACCTTTGACTCATTGACGAAAATAA